TTCTTTTGCAGTAACATCGTCAAAATAGCGTAAAGTCTGTACAATCTGTAAACCACGCAACTAAACCCCCCACCCTCCCCATCATCCCACCCGCCCCTCTACCCCAACGATAGTGTGTTGGAACACGTAAAAATCCTCTGTCCCTCGAGCTCCTCCTCCTCCTCCGCCTCCGCCTCCTCCTCCTCCTCCTCCTCCTCCTCATCATCAGCCTCCTCCTGTGCCTCTTCCTCCAAATTCCTCGGTACCTCTTTTATCATCAAAATAACTATGCAACGTTCATCCATGCCAAATGTACATTGTTCCGCACGGGCAATAAGGTAACGAGCAGCGTATCAAGATCCTGAAGCCGATGAGCAAATCCGCAGCGATTGTGCACCGAGTAGCAAGTGAAGGGAGTTTGCGACCCATCGCCGTTGCTAAAAGATTAACCGGAATTAACGGAAACAGCAGCTACGGACGCGAGTCGAAAAACACAATTAGGGGTGCATCGAGAGAGAAGATTGGTAATTTCTATTCATTATTAAATCACATTTACATTCCTTTCAATAACTCATCTTTAAAGGTATGAACAGTATCGGTTGTAATTCTTTTACGATTTTCAATGATGAATGCCATCGTTATAACGCTCAATGTAACGCTCATTTATTTCGCAAATAGCTAATATTTTAATGGTAAGAGGTGTAAGTTTCTTCGTGCCCTTTCCACTCTATTTAATTACGACACTTTACGGATATGACACATTTGCCATTTTCAACAGGTGCATAACTTTTATACTGTTTCTTATATTTATTCCTTCTTTCTTTGTTTTATCTATCTATTTATTTATTTATTTATTTATTTATCTATCTATTTATTTATTTATTTATTTATTTATTTATTTATTTATTTATTTATTTATTTATTTATCTATCTATTTATTTATTTATTTATTTATTTATCTATCTATTTATTTATTTATTTATTTATTTATCTATCTATTTATTTATTTATTTATTTATTTATCTATCTATTTATTTATTTATTTATTTATTTATCTATCTATTTATTTATTTATTTATTTATTTATCTATCTATTTATTTATTTATTTATTTATTTATCTATCTATTTATTTATTTATTTATTTATTTATCTATCTATTTATTTATTTATTTATTTATTTATCTATCTATTTATTTATTTATTTATTTATTTATCTATCTATTTATTTATTTATTTATTTATTTATCTATCTATTTATTTATTTATTTATTTATTTATCTATCTATTTATTTATTTATTTATTTATTTATCTATCTATTTATTTATTTATTTATTTATTTATCTATCTATTTATTTATTTATTTATTTATTTATTTATTTATTTATTTATTTATTTATTTATTTATTTATTTATTTATTTATTTATTTATTTATTTATTTATTTATTTATTTATTTATTTATTTATTTATTTATTAATAGGAGAAAGTACATGTAGCGCTTTTCACGAGCAGCTGTTGCAATAAGTCAAGCTTAAACATTTTCTCTCGTACTACACATTTTATAGTGGTTTCTGATCAAATGTTTCTACTATATTTCGTCCATTGCGTAGCAAAAATTTGCTTATCATTATAATGAGATAACTTTGATTCACGATTCTACGTAATTTCGACGTATTATCAATTATGCAATTATTTAACCAGAATAAAAGTATTAGTAGAATATAGATTAATGAAATAGTTAAGTAATAGTAAAAAATAAACGGCACAATAGTCATTGGACATACAACATACATAAACTTTTTTCATACTTATCATGCAAACACTTTCTCGAAAACTAAAAAAGTTAGTATATTATTGCCGATAATAATTGCATCTACATTATTGTCCATTATGCATATATGTTTTTGTTTAACGTTCAAAACTAAATAAATATTATGCATATTATAGATGTCTCAAAACGATACGTACTTTAGCCGATATAATTATCGTTTCATTATAAATGGTATATTAAACGAATGTTAATTTATGATTTATTGGATATTATTGGTTTGTAGAACTGAAATAAATCAAATTTTCTCTATAATCTTTGCGCTTGCACACTAAAAATCTTCTACTTCATATGGTTAAATTAATTAAAGCATGTATTAGTAAAAAGCTATGTAAATGAATTAGTTGGCATTTAAAAATGACAATACGCATAGTCTCAACGGGTGATAAAGAAAATCTAGTAGCAAAAACAGTATTATAGTTTAGCAATACACTGGTAGTAAATTCAATGATACTTTTACGAAATTTCAGCGAATGTAACGATTACGCAGAATGAAATTAATATTTAAGTCATAAATATTCTATAATATATTTAATACTAATAATGAATATTCATCATTGTATTCACTCCCATAATATTTATATATTTGTTTATAAAATTATTGACAAAAAAAATCAAATTATATAATATTTAATAAAAAAAGACAACCCAAAAATATTCACTTTGCTTAAAAAAAAAAAAAAAATACTGAATTAAGAAATCAATTACATATATATTTACATATATATAATCCTAATCATTACATATATGATATATAATCATTAAAGAATGTTTATTTTCACATCGCAGATAACCATTTCTATTAATCGTAATCAAATCTAAAATTTATTTATATAATTAGCAAACAAATAATCTTATTTTTCATTTTGCAAGCTATGCATTCTGAAAATGCCTGTACTTGATTCAAATCTTATCTGCTTTGGAACGGAATGGCGTTAATTATAGATCAACAATTAATTTACTGTTATATAATGTAATATTGCATAATATTTTGAATAATTATTTCGATTGAAATGTTATAATTCATATGTCGAACAAAAAATTGCATCGTGTTTTATTTCTGTGTTACATTTTCGAGATAATTCTATTTATGGGCTAACGATCACTTTGAGGTAATTCAAAATTATTATGAAATCTAATTATCTAAGTCTACATCAATAATTTAAAGCCTTAACAACTACTATAAATTTATCAAAAGGAAGATAAGAGAAAAAGCGTAACATGTTATTCAATAAAGTTACAAAATAAAAATATTTGATTGTATCGTCACGTTTAACTATATAGAGAATAATAATTAATAATTAAAACTTAATTATATAATAAAAGATTAATTTATAATAATAGATAGAATATAACTTAAGTAAGTCTGAAAATAAAAATGATTTTTATTGCAGAATTGAAAATCGGTATAACGTATATTTAATCAAATCTGAAAATTGTTAATATTACAGTTTTCGAATCACTCAAATACTCTTAATTTATTTCAATCGATTACAAGTACAAATCTTCTTCAATTATTATTAAATAGAATTGAAAATTGCCAATGAGATATTGAAAATATATATGTTAATTTTATTATAACAACATCGCATCATCGAGTTCTGATAATTTATGAGTAAATAAAAATGAATTTCAAATTATGTGTAAGCAAATAATTGAATATATTTTTATCTATTAAAATAAAATTTTCAACAAAAAAATATCAATAGTAAATATCTTATAAATTAAAAATAATTATGTAGAAAAAAGTTAATTTATTTATAACTATTTCTAAAAACAAATTAATTGTTATTTTTCTTTCACATTAATCTTATTTTAACTTTAATTTTGGTTCATTTATTTATTGATTAATAAAACCATATTTAATTTAGAATTTTTAATAAATTGAAAGGCATCGATATACACAATTCTATATAATTGTAAACGTTGTTTAACATTAAATTTTATTTTATTATAATCACATATTCGAAACCACTATAAACCGACAAATATGTATAACAAACTTTTAAAGATCATATTAATAAATCATTTCCTGTATCTTTTAATAATATGAGTGATAATATTGAGAATTATAATGTAAATGCACACTTAAATGCATAAATGCTTTCTGAATTGGAATATATTTTGTAATTGAAAAGAGACTAATATAGAAATTATATCCATATATTGGTGAAAAAAAAGTGTTGATGATAATATTGTATAATATTTTAACTATTTTGATAAATCGATAAGAGATGATAAAAAATATTTAAGGTATAACGATTCATTGTAACATAAATATCTATGATTATCGATATTATCTTTCCGATTATCCGTATAATCCGTCTAATTTTTTTAATGAACCACGAAAATCTCAAATTTTTTTTAAAATATAAATTGTACGCCTTTCTATATCTTCTAAAAAATTCAATTTAAAAATTCACTATTAAAAAGATTAAACTTTTTGCATTATTCATTAAACATATTCTACGAATTTGTATTAATAAAGAAAGTAACGGGAACGAGAAACTTTTAATTCAAAATAGTCGTTTTTAATAATAACATTGCTGAAAAAAATAAAAACTTTTATGAATCATGGACTAGTAGCCGTCAAATTATATTTCAATTTGTATATGTCAAGTACATTATTCTTTTCATTTACAATTTAAATTACATCTAATGCTTTCTAAATCTATTAATCCTAATCTGGAGATTAAATTTTGCGCGAAAAACTGCTGAAGTATAATATATATGCTTCGTACATATAAAAAAATAATTAATCTATCGTAATAAAATTTAATTTTAAATATTCGATAGATTATAATTAACAAGCAATAATTTATTACGTAAATTTTTCTATCGTAACATAATTTGATAAAAAATAATGATTGACTTGCAGAAAAATTAATAAATAAATTGATCAATGAGTAAGGATAGAATAATAATGAAATTTAATGAATAAATAATAAGCAAGGGGAGAATAAATTTCCTAATAACAGTTATATCGTATTTTAAATACAATAACAATAACCCTCCATAAAACATTCTACAACATGAATATAAATTGTTTTTACATGATTAGTCCTAAAAATATTATGATGATATAGACAAAAAAAAAAAAAAAGAAAAAACTTAGATTAGACATTAATTAAAACACGATTGATAGAGCAGCGAATTAATCAGCGCTCAGAATTGGAGTCACTTATTATCAAATCAGTGCTGAGTGATCCACTGGGAATGGCTTAACAACATTTTATATAGAGCCCAGTGACAGGCATTATCATACTTACAAACAATTCTATACGAACAAATTCATCATGAATCGACCTTAATATTAGATAATAAAAATTTTCATTGCTATAATACAGTAGAGAGCTTGAATTTGTTAAATTATTTCAATAACAAAATTATAATATACATTATAGACTTTTAAAATGCATTTGGAAAATAATAATCAGCAGTTGTGTATACAAACGTGCTTGCGTTGGCTTTTTATGAAAAAATATTGACTCTTACGATAATATTGTATGAAATATTGTATACAACGGTACAACAATGTTATACGGTGAAAATACCATAATTGGCATCGCGGACATAATAATTGGTAAGCAAGAAATTATTTAATACAGTAAACTACTATTTGAAATATTTAATCATATTATTCCAAGAGCTTTAACTAAATTTGTTAAAATTTGCATAAATTATTCACTTTTATG